GCCGGCCGCGGCAAGATGCGCAACCGCCGCTACGTTGCTCGCCGTGGCCCTATGCTGGTGATGCCGGACAACAAGGGCACACGCGCCTTCCGCAACATCTTTGGCCTGGACCTGGCGAACGTGAACGCGCTGAACCTGCTGCACCTCGCCCCAGGTGGCCACGTTGGTCGCTTCGTTGTCTGGACGAAGGGCGCATTCGAGAAGCTTGACAGCATCTTTGGCACCTTCACGAAGGCCTCCATGGTGAAGAAGGGCTTCATGCTGCCCGCCCCGATGCTGACGAACACCGACGTGACGCGCATTATGCAGTCCGAGGAGGTTCGCCGCGTGCTGAAGCCGAAGAAGCTCCAGCCGAAGAAGGCGAGCCGGCTCACCCAGCCTACAAACGGCTTCCGCAACCGCCGCCTGCGCCTGCGCCTGAATCCTTTCCAGAAGAAGGAGTCGTCGATGTTGAGGGGCCTGCGCAATCGCAAGAACCGCGAAGTCCGCCACAAGTCCAAGGCTGTGCGCATTGCGAAGGCCAAGAAGGCCATTGCCGGCGGCGCCAAGAAGAAGTAACTACTGAGCGAAAGAGAGCCACACTGAATAGTGCTTTTATTTTTACTTTATGATTTTATTTACAAACCAACATCTCAAAAAAGCTTTTTTGTTTGCTGCCGTTGTTTTTGGCGTACTACCGCCCGCTACCTTGCTGCGTTTTTTTGGAGATGCTTGGAGAAACCGTTTTTGTTCTTTTCCTTCTTTCTTGTCTTTTCCCTTCTCTGTCCCTTTTTTTTTTTTTTATTAAAGTCGCCTGAGTAAATAATAAGTATTCATAGTTGGGTTAAGGAGAGTAAGTGCGTAGTTTGTGAGGTATATTGAGTTTTTTTTTTGTGGTGAAGATGGCTGACTTTCCGAAGCTTGCAAGGATCAAACTCGATGATGAGAACATGGAGAAGATCCATTGTGCGGCACGGAAGGGGCAAACCGAAGAGGTGAAGCGCTTAGTGGAACAGGGCATTGATCCGGCGATCCCCAACAGGTTTGGCTGCACCGCGCTTCATCTGGCGTGCAAGCATGGCCAAATAGAGACAGCAAAATATCTTTCCTCAATCTGTGATGTGCACGGTGCGTGGCATGGCCAGCGTCCGCTGCATCTCGCCGTCCTTTCTAATAAGGAGGTGCTTGTGGAGGCTCTTGTTGAGGGGGCGAGGGAACGCGGTCGCAATGTGGAGATTATGTTGAATGAATGCGATGATGTCTCCGTCGATGATATTGGGGAGCACCAAAAGCACACCGACGGTCAGACGGCTTTGCATTGGTGTGTGGCGTTGGGTGACAATTACTTGCCGATGCTGCGTTTGCTTATCAGACTGGGCGCCTCCCCGACAGCAAAAAACAAGGAAAACGTGACGAGTATGATGTACGCCATGGAGTTTAAGAACGAAGCTGCCATGGAAGAAATGGTGAAGGGCGTGAAGCCGCAACAGCTGCGGCTTGACTATCAGGACAAGGAGGGTAGGACACATCTGCATTATGCCATCCTCCACAACCGTCAAGATTACGCCATGCGGTTCATTGAGATGGGCCACGATCCGCAAATGGAGGACGATAATCACGAAACACCGCTCTTCCTTGCGCTTCGCGCCGCCATGCCGGATCTTTTGACGTACCTTCTTCAGAATGTGGATTCCTTTTCTGTACAGCAGGCTCCCTTTCACAATGGCTCCGTGATGGTGGCGGAACGCATTCAGTGGTTGGAATTTGCGACTGACGAGCAGGCCCGGACTGAGTGCATCCGGTTATTCCAGAAGCGCTTAGACGAGGTGAGCTTCCGACCAGAGGAGACTGAAAAGAAGAGGGCGAAACCGACCGTGAAGAAGATGAAGTTGGCACCCTCCGCCCCATTACGGAGCCGCAGTATTGGAAATGCCTCAGCACTACGCAGTAGAAGTATTGGCGGCCGTATTTCCGGCAAGTGACCAGGAAGGCACGTCTACGCCGGGGTTTCTTCTTTTTCAGGCATTTTGTTGTGAGTATGGAGGGTTTTTCTCTCTCTCCCTCTCTTTTCTTTTTCTTTTTGATTTTACAGTTTCTGTGCCTGTATAATTATGAGCGAAGGGGGTGGAAACGATAGAAGACCATTGATTTCTTTTGTACCATGTATATTATTGTTTCTGAGGCGGCGGCGCATTCAATTACTTGTGAATTTTGGCATGATTGTTTTGTACACTCATTGCCATGGTGAAACGAGAGAACCCGATGTATAACTGAGCGTTGGAAGTGGAAAAAAAAAAAAAAAAGGCCGAAATGCCATACCTATATCCCCCCGCTGCTAAAAGGACAGGTAAACAACAACAAAAAAGTAATAAAAGCAACAACAATACAATAAAACTTTGGTTAGAGTAAAATTATTATTATTATTTTTTTGCAGCTTGCCGGATGGGACGGGACGTTCTGTTTGTGTACGTGTGTGTGTGTGAGCATGGCCCGCAAGTTTATACAATTACGGAATTAAATACATTTGTATTCGGATGATCTGTTTATTTTATGCTGCCCGCCTTACCCGTGTTTTTTTTGTTTTGTATGTGTGGAGCGGTTTATTAGGCCTAGAGAGAATTCAATACCCGTCTTTTTTTTTTTTTTTTTTTTTTGAGAAAGGGGGAAGAGAGGGTGAGCGAGGTACGTTCCCTTCGTATCATTTGTAGCGACGGGGCGGCTGTGTGCGGGGCGGACGCCAAGGGAAACGCGTTGGGGGTTGACCGTATTTCACGAGGGATCAACAGCGACAGCAGTAACGACAAGGAAGGGGTGATAAAAGAAGTGTCTCCGTCTTTGTGTGTGTGCGTGTGGAAGCAGGAACGAAGAGGATAAAAAATAAGTTTTGATAAATGGCATACAACCACATTTCTATGGATGATGACGGTGTGGCGTCATTTACTGGTGGGCCTTGGCACCAAAACGGAGCGGATACTGAAATGGCACCAGAGAGCGGCATGGCGACTGCTTCTATTGCCGGTGTTCCTGTTATTGATCCGACGATGACTCCTGGAGAGTTTATTCGCCGCTGTCAGCAACAGTATTACTTTGAGTTCTCGTGGGAGGTGCCGTTTCCGCGGGTGCCTGCAGCGCCGTTGTTGTACCTTCCGGATGCCTTCAAGGAGTTGCTTAGCGACCCGTCACCTTTGGGCGTTATGCAGGCGGAGCTGGACGCCATGTCTGAGGGTGTGCTAGAACGTATTCCACTTGCCTACTACTTGCTCCGTCCAGAGGTAGTGGAGGAAGCACGCAACATTGCAATGGAATGTGAACAGCGTGTGGAAGAATTGCAGCGCCAGGCAGCCGTGGATGGTTTGCCGGAGAGACTGACATGGCGGCCAGAGGAGGTGAACCCGTATCTGGAGCGGGCCGACGCGGAGCTGCTGGATACGGACATTGACCTGAATTTGGTCCTGGAGCGAGACAAGCCTTCACTGACGCTCCTTCAACGTCCATTGTATACGGACATGGGATTGGTGCCGCAGGAACAACGACACC